CTCAATTTTCAGGATAGATTGCATTATGTCCACCCTATGGGGAGGACAGGGGGCTTGTTTCTTATGTGGTCTAGTAATATCTATATTATTGATTTGGTTAGTTGTGATTTTTGTCTAGAAGTTACGTTTAAGTTTAAAAATATGTCTGAGTTGTGTTGTGCTGTTTTTGTCTATGCTAGTACTGAAGCTGAGGTTAGGGCTAATCAGTGGGAGGTGTTAGTGAGGCATAGTCTCATTTGGGGTAATCTTTGGTTTCTGTGTGGTGATTTTAATGATATTCTTTGTCATGAGGAGAAAAAAAGGAGGGGTTCCAAGAGAAAAATATAGTTTTTTTTTTCACTTTAGAAATCTAGTTAGCACTTTGGGTGCTATGGAATGCTCTTCTGTTGGACATCCTTTCACCTGGTCCAATAATAGAAAGGGGCAAATGTTTATTGAGGAAAAACTAGATAGATTTTTACTGTCTCCTGCCTGGTTATTTCAATTCCCCAACTCTCTTGTTAAGCACTTTTCTCTCATATCTTCAGATCATAGTCTGTTATTATTTGATTGTTCTGATGTTGATGTGAGTTCTAAAAAAAGGTTTGTTTTTTATGCTAATTGGATTGATGTGGATGATTATAAAAATGTTGTTGAAATTGCTTGGAATGAACATGTTTCCGGGCATGCATTATTTAGTATTTAGGACATGCTTAGACATGTTCGAATGAGTCTTCTAAATTGGAATAAAAATAGAAAGGGGAATGCCAGACTCATTATTGATGAATGTAAGTCCAAATTAAATGCCTTGAGAGAAAAGGGGGAGATAGAGACTGGGGAGAATGGGTTCATGCAAGAGTGATTTGAACCTGGCTTATAGTTGTGAGAAGAGATTTTGGAAATAGAAGGCTAGGATTCATTGGCTTAGAGAGGGGGATCACAACTCTAAATTTTTTCATGCTCATGTTATACAAAGGAGACTTAATAACAGTCTGGATAGCATTCTGAAATCTGATGGGTCCCCTTATTTAAATGTGTATGATACTCTCTCTGAATTAATGGCTTATTTTGATCAAATGTTCAAATCCTCAAATCCTTCGGACCATCTCTGTAACTTGCAGGGTATTCCAAGGACTATTACAGAGGATATGAATTCTGATTTGATTAAGCTTGTTGAGGAAAAAGAAATTGAATCTGCCTTGTTTGATATGAGTCAGGATAAAGCTCCTGGGGCTAATGGCTTTACAACTTTATTTTTCCAAAATGCTTGGCCTGTGATCAAATTTCATGTATGTCTTGTTGTGGAGAACTTTTTTGCCTGTGGTAAAATGCCTAAGGGTCTTAATCATACTGTGATAACTTTGATTCCTAAAAAGAAGTATCCTTCTAAAGTGGCTGATTTTAGACCTGTAAGCTTATGCACTGTTGTTTACAAGATTATTACTAAGGTTATAGCTAATAGGTTGAAACCAATCCTTTCTTCCTGTATTTCTGTTGCCTTATCTGCTTTTGTGCCTGGTAGACAAATATTGAATAATGTTATAATTGCAAATGAATGTATCCATTATTTAAACAGTAAGAGAAAGGGTAAACATTACTATATGGCTGTTAAACTTGACATGGCAAAG